AGGAGTGGTGGCGGGTTCATTGGTGTGGAGCGCACGTACGCAAGTAGATTCATTCATTCAAGACCCTATTAACTATCCTGGAGGATGGATCCTGCCGCAGAAGAAGCAATGCGTTGATATTTGCACATCAGCATCCCCAACGCCAACCTGCTTTGTCAACACGACAGACTGCATTCAGAAAAAGCAAGAGCCTGGCGATTATGACACATTGATACTTGAACAGCTCTTCCTGCCTCAATACTGCCGCGACCTTCTCGACGGTATCGACAGCACCGTCGCTCATCGTCCCGTCGCACCGTACCCACAAGGAATTCGATGTCTGCCTGTGGTTCCGTCAGCATTGTCCATCCATGGACTATGGCCCAATTACAATGGTGGTTACCCCTCTTGTTGCAACGTCAGCGCCGCCATTCGCAACCATCCATTCGACCCCCTCGCCTTCCGAGCAACGCACCCAGACCTAGCAAGCACCATGGCAACTCGCTGGGTTGACCCGACTCAGCCTCGAGCAACCTTCGATGCTCTCTGCGAGCTGTGGAATCACGAGTTTCAAAAGCATGGGATCTGCTATAACAGCGCTGGCACAGACTTCACTGCAGCCGCCGTCGGATACTTCACAGCTGCATTGGCCATCGCTGACAAAGTCGCAGCATCTACCGCTCGAATTCATGCTTGGGCGTCTGCAGGGACTATAGTATCGGGGCAAGACATCACGCAGCTCTATCCTCGCACGGTTCAACTCGATTGCACAAACGGAAGGCTGGCACGCATCCGCACCTGCTGGAACAAGACCCACCAACAAATCGACTGCCCGACCCATGGCAAGTGCAACTCCGCACCCCGCGTTCGCCTGGATGCATATGCGCCTCCACAATCGATAACTTCTCCGGGGACTTCTTCTTTCGAGGATCAAGTCTCGTCGACATGAGAATTTCCAGAGACGTCGATAGAAACTCTGACGTCGATCCGTTGTCGTTTTGGTTTTTACTTCAAGCATGACCGAGTCATGCCCGCTGTGTCCGATTGCTTCGTGGCCCGAAAGAGATCATTCCGGCGTCATCGCATATTTTCATGCCCACTCGCCGAATGAGGAGAATCGCAACTGCGACCGGTCCCATCGCTAGACATCGTGCCAAGTGTCGACGACCAAGTTTTGCCCTCGCAAGGCCACCTCTCTTGGTGGCGTTGACTCCTTCAACGCCTGGCACCGGGGCTCCAAGACCTCAGCGTCTCGCAGGAGCTCGTGCTTGGAACCGTCAAGCGCAGCAGGGGACCCACGCACCATCGCCGTCGCGGCGGGGAATAAGGAGCGTTCCATGCGTACAGATCCGACGACGCTTATATACTTAAATGCAACCTCCGACTGTGGATGGTCCCATGCCCAACGTTACACGGTCGGCGACATGACTTCTCGTATTCGTTCGGAGAACATCTCGTCGTCATTGCAATAACAGTCGATCCACTTGGACAAACACGACGGACATGTGTCCGCGGACACTTTTCGCTTGGGCGTGACTTCTGGCGTCACGCGCGGCGGCTCCAGGAATGATCGAAACCGCTCGACTTTGACTTCGGGCGGGACCTTGTGCACACGCCGCATGAGTTGCTGCTCGTCGACTTCAAGGAACGATCGAATGACGTTGAGACGGATGTTTGTGTCGGCATGGTGACACTGCCGAAACGCACCATTGAGGAGATCGCGCAGGATGTCTTTAAGAAAGAGAGCAAGGCCGTCAATGCGTTCTTGGACGACGCTGAGCTGCCATGAGAGAGGTGTCCGTTTCGGGAACGGATACGACTTGATCACGGAGCAGCAGTGCGTGCAGAACGGACAGTGACCCCAGTTTACGATCGCCAGGAGTTGGTTCCTCAGCTCGTAGAAATGCGAATACCGCCGTTGGACAGAGTGCTTTTGACCGGTGGACACGTTCTTGATGTAAATCGTGTAGTTCGTGTACTTGCCATTCGACTCATCGGTGGTGCTGCGGTTCGCCAAGAGATGAATCTCCAAGTGATCCTCCATGGGTGCCGCCGTCCACTCGTTCAGACCACGGAATCGCCCCGAGCCTCCTGGTGCCCTGGATGTTCTGGTCGGACGTCCACTTAGGGTCGACTATTTTAATTCCAAATTTATTTCATCGGTCGCGAATTCCGAGGGAAGTGGGCCGGATTGGTCGAGCGCAGCGATCAGATTCCATGGGGTCGTGTTGCGTGCTCCCCGTATGGAGAAACCAGAACGAAGAGACAGATCCGAGTCCCCGTAAAGCATGACATGGCCTTGAAGCGCTCATGCGCAGTGGCCACTGTTTCGATGTCCGTCCTCGCTAAGCTACCCCTGGAAACGATGCCGATGGTGAAACGTATTCCAAGTCGGACATGGTCATAGGAATATACTACATTATTCTATGGTTCATTCAATTCTACAGGTCAATTTGCGTCGACTGTACGGATAACGAATCGATCCGATTGGTCCATTCTTCCAAGACGACGGGATCGCGTTGGCCCTTACGTCTGACAGGCATGAGGCGACGCTCCATGTAGGCACCCTCGATTTGACAACTCCCGGCATGGACGCCAGGTCGTCGCAGAACTCGCATCATGATCATTCCCAAGAAGATTCAAAGGCAGACGCCCCACAACGCATGTTGCGAGGACACGGCTAACTCGATTGAGTGCGTATTTTCGACTATTTTCTTCTGTTTTCGACAGGTACGATGCATCCTCCAATCCGACGATCCAGCAATTTCGGCAAAACTCCAAAATGTTTCGCAAAATTCAAATCGTCGTTTTCGTGCACCGTGACCTGGACATCGACGTGCTTACACCTTTCTGTGTACACCGCCGAGAGATCCATGCGAGTCATTCATGACCAAGCACGATGCGTCATTCATGCCATTGTGTGTGCAATGACTTGTCCATCGAGTTTCGCATCTTGCCGGATTACTATGGATGTCGTCCACACCCCAGAGGTACCTGTTTGTAGCGATGGACATGCGAGCTCAGATTGGCTTGGCAACATGGCCCACCGTCGCTCACACATGGCACGCTTCGTGGCCGAGAAGAAGTATGCAATAAGCATTGCGTGAACGGTTTACATTGATGAACAGGCCGAATGGGCACGGTTCACTTGCTTGTCGGGCCGCACTTCGCCATTCGACGCGTCCAGATTCAAGTCAACCGCGTACTGGACGTAGTCGGCCGAGAATGGGTAGAACCACCCGTTCGTGTACGCGCCAATGTCGACGTACAAGCGCTGACGGAGTACGTGAAACACATGCGTATTCAGGACGACGCAATTCCAGTTCGGGTAGGCGATCAACATGTTTTCCCACAGCGACAAGAGCCACGAGGTCAACCGGCACACCCATGACGTTCCCTGTCTAACAGCAGCTTGGGGCTTTCGGATCGTGTCGAAATGTGCCCACCAAAACTTGTAGAACGTGGGTGGACCGGTCCCATTGCTGCTGGAACCCAAACCTCGAGCTCGAGAAGAGAAAGCGCATGGAGAGCGACAGCACCGATTGTACTTGCCAGGCGCCAAAAAAGCCGCAAACTGGTGCCTCCTTCTCACTGTGGTTGATGCATTAAGAGAGCAACGAACTTCATCCTCGGTGCTCTGCTGGAACACGCGCTCACTTCAAACGGTATGCAGGTCCTTACGACTGCCCGCACGCAGAAGTCTCTTTTCCCGTTCTCCACGACTAAAGTGCGAACTTCTCTCGTACGAAACTTTCGGCTGCATGCTCCGCCTCGGACGCGACTCGATCGATGTCGTTGCCATGGTGGCCTGCAGTCATTGTACTTGGTCGAGTGGCAGACTGGTGGCTGTTGGTTGCGATGGATCGCCGATGGATCCCAACGACACATTAGCCATGCTGCGTGACGTGGATATAGAAGGACGACGGACTCGTCTAGGGTGAAGCGTTCTAGGAGATGTATCGTAATTGCATTCACGATGACAACTCGCACGCCTCTGTCGATCGGGGAACGACGTGGTCCGACGGAGAGAGGCTAGCGTGGAGGGCTACCTTGCACAGGTGCTCGAAATCGGCGACACCCCCACTTTTGAGAGATGAACAATGTCCTCCTTGCTCCATCCCGTGACCCCGAGGCCTCGTGAAACTTGGTTGTCGACTCGGCCAAGGAGCTGCCTCAGTTTGTGCCTGGAGAATATGGAGGTGCATGCCGCAAACTAACAGTGAACGGAGCTGGTCCATCCATCGAATGAGGTCGTGTTGGATCACGGCAGTTACCTCGATACGCTTCGTGGCGCTTTCAATAACGTCAAGACGTGGTGGGCCGATTCGTGTGTAGAGGTCGTGGAGGAACGAGAAAGTCATGGGGTTGAGAAATGCATTCAAGTGCATGCGTGATCGATCACGGAGAAAAACACGGAAACGGATGCAGGTGCGGCATGTCGTCGAGGACCTGGAGCGCGTTCAGGTAAGCCATGTTGGCCGTGACCCAGTCGGCCTTGAGCAGTCCTTCTTCCCAGTACCCGGCCGTGCTGCTGGGGTTGAATCCGTACCCGCTCTCGGGGTTGAGCGACCACATGTATCCGCCGGCATACCCGGGCTCTTTCATCACTTTCATGCAATCTTGAATCACGCGTTGCGATGTTTTGTTCGGGTGCGCATCGAGCGCGTACAGGCCCCCGAACTCTCCAAACACGATCGCGCCGTCCTGGACATGCCGGAGGTACCCAAACATATCTTCCGACGTCGCATGCACAATGTCGTTGAGTTCATCGTCACTCCATTCCGAGTACGATATCAAGACATCGTTGCCGCGCGTGGCATTCTTCACAAGGAACGTCTGCGGGTACACGGACGGGCTGTAGTAGTGCGGCGCCCACACAATCTTGGCTGGGACGTCCAGGGTCAACGGAAACTCTCCACTTTTCTGCAAACCACCTCCCCACCAGTCGTAGTACTCAAATGTGTGGCCTTTGATGTCGATCGTGTGCGACTTGGCATTCCCTTCGACAAACGCGAGCCATGAAGGGCACTTGTGGAGCATGTGGTTGCCCAGCGTAGCTGCGCCAACGCGAAAATCCCGCGGGCCGTTGTCGCCCCACGTCGTGTCCCACGGCTCGTTCTTCAAGTCAAGGCCGAGGATGTTCCAGTGCATGTCGTTGCACAGTCGGGTAGTTAAAGCATCGATGGCGGCGAGCGAGTCGGTTTCTGGAGTCGTCGCGCTGAACCAGGCATCGCCTGCAGGATCCATGGTCAGTGCGGCGGCTGGCGCACCTCCTGACAAGAATGGAGACTCGAACCTTTGTCGGTCGGGGACAGGTAGTGCAAGTCGAGGAGGACCGAGATTCCTCTCGACCCCAACGCACGCACCACGGAACTGACTGTGCCCAGGTACGACGTCAAGTCCAAACTCGGGTTCCAGTACGTGTTGACAAGGTTTGCATTCGTCGGCGCGTTGGCGAGAATGCCCCGCACGTTCAATGGAAACCGGACGCTGTTAAAGTGGTGCCGAGAGAGAAACGCGACGACTTCGTACTAAGGACGGGGGTCGTTGAAATGCCACGTCGTGAGGACATAGATCGTACGATGTTTGTGCCGTTCTGGTCGTTTGCCCACAGCCCAAACGGCACGTTCTCGGCAGTGTCCATCCCGAACCAGTTGATGCCTTTGATCGCGATGGGGGTTTCGATGCCGGTTGCGCGGTTGCGTACAAATACTTGGCCGTCGTGGCTTTGGTAGTCGGGCAGCTTGCAACCTGGGGAAAGGAATTGGCATCATCCAACGCAGGTTATAGCGTGCGCAGACCTCGATCGGGAAAGGATGCCGGGTTCGTCACTTCGGTGGCCAAGGTACCACTCGTGCCGTCCCGAATGCGACCGAGGTTCGAGGTCAGCTGAGGGGGAAGCTGTGCCGAAGTTGTTGTCGGGGGAGGCGTTGTCGACATGGTGGCGCGCGTTGTAGTCGGGGCGGGGGTGGCAGCATGCGACGTGCTGGGCGGGGCAGAGGTTGGTGCGGGGTTGGAAGGTATAGCGGGAATGGTGGCGATTGGCGGACCTGGATCTGCCGTGGGGCTGGCCGTGACGGATGCCCTTCCTTCGGATCCAGTCTCGAGCGAGTTCTTTGCAACGTCGCCTTTGCTGCCAAACAAAACCACGATCGCCGCCACGACGCCGCCGAGGCTCACCACGGCGAGACAAAAGAGCAGGATGGACTTGGAGCGTCGGGACTACACCAACTACGGTCAATACACACGTCAGTGAGGGGACACCACCTCCAAGCAAGCCTGCTTGCGGCGATGCTCCCTCTCGAAAGAATCGACATCGACGACGTCGCGGAGGTTGACTGTGTCTGCAAAGTGCATCGGGTCCTTCTTTGTACGGTCGAACGATTCGTCTTTCGACTCGTCGTCGTGGTTGATGAGTGCCGACGACGAGCTGAACCGCGAGTACTCGACGGGGGCCTCGAGCGACTCGACGGACACGAGCTCTTTCCGCGGCGACGTCGCCATGATATTCTCGACTGCGTGCGAATGTCGCTGGACAAACTCGTCGTCGAACGATTGTGGTGCCGCCGTCGGTTCACGAACGGTCGACTTCCATATTCGAACGTCAAGTCGACAGGACGCAACGAACACGCATGATAGATGGTTGGCATTAAGATCTCACCCTGAGGTGCAGCTACAGCTCAGGAAACACACGGCCATGGCTGCAAATACGGCAGCGAGTCCAACTTTTTGAGAGCGGTCAGGTACGGGCCGTTCGCGGTCGTCCAAGTGTCTCCGACGAGCCCTTCTTGCCACGACCCCTTGGTGTTGGATGGGTTGTACTCGTACTGGGTCTCCGGGTTAAGAGCCCACACGTAGCCCCCGGCAAACCCTGGCTGGGATGCCACGTCCATCGTGAGCTCAATCACGCGGCGGTTCGTGAGATTTGCAAAGGCATCTTTCGCGTACAACCCGCCGAATTCCCCCAGCACCACTGCGCCTTGTTGGTACTGCGTGAGAAAGCCAAACATGTCGGACATCGTGGCAGCCACCCGGCGTTTGAGTGTTTCATTCGTGTACTCGGTGTACCCCACCATAAGGTCGTGGTCGCGCACCCCGTTCTGGACAAAGTAAGACTGCGGGTACTCGGACTAGAACAAAAGCATGTAAGCCTGTGGGAACGGGGGGGGGAAGGAGCGGGCCCTCACCGGCGAGTAGTAGTGCGGCGCGTACACGAGCTTGCTGGGGATGCTCAGCTTCAACGGGGCCGTTGCCTCGTTCTGGAGCCCACCGCCCCACCAGTCGGTGTACGTAAAGACTTGCGTGTTGTCGTCGGACCGTAGCGTGTGCTTGGCCACGGTGCCTTGAACAAACGCCAACCAGTTTGGGCATCCCTTCAGCATGCGGTTCGCAATGCGGGGCGCGCCGATGGCCCAGTCGTTCGGGCCGTTGTCGCCCCACGTCGCCGCATACGGTTTGTTTTTCAAATCGATCCCGATCACATTCCAATGCTGATCGTTGCACAGTTTGGTCGCGAGGACGTCGACGGCCGCCAAGTACGAGAGTTCGCTGAGGTTGTCGCTGGTCCAGGACCCGCCGGCGTCCGTGGGGGTCAGCGTGTGCAGGTCCAAGAGGACGCTCATCTTGCGAAACGCAAACGCCCGAATGATCGACGACAGGAGCCCCATGTAGCTTTGCGAGTTGATCGCCCGGTTCGCGGCCGTGTTGATCAAGTCAGGGTTCGGGCGACGGTCGTTCAGGATGCTCTCGATGCAGAGCGGAAGGCGGACACTGTTAAAGTTGTTGCGGGCGAGGAACGCCGCCAGTTGAAACTAGCCGAGGACATTTTCGATCACGAGCTGCGACCTTTGCTCAAGGACGTACCACAGTTGTGCCGTTCGTGGGGGAATGCCACAAGCCGTACGGAATCGCATCCGCTGTTTCCATGCCAGCCCTACATGGGAAGCGCGATGGTTGTGTCGCAAGTGGACGCTTCTTGCAACGTACCAGCTGATGCCCTTGATCGACACGGGCTGGGGAAAGCCATTGGGGCCCTGTACGTAGATCTTGCCGTTCGACGAAGTGTATTGTGGCAATTTGCAAGCTATCCACGTTGTCGTGAGGTGGAGTTGCCAGGTTGAAAGAATGGGTGAACGGGACCTTGTGGAGGGTACTTGACTGGGTTGACTCCGACGGGAAAGGACTCGGCCGAGAACGCCGATCCATCGTCGATGCGACCTGCGGATGGCGCGAGTGGATCTGAAGTTGGCGTCGGGACCGAGTACCCGCCATTCGTTCCCGTCGGTGAAGTCGCGCCGTTTTGCTGGACCAATTTCAAAATGACAAGGACAATGCCTGCCATGATACCGCTGACCACGATCACAAGGAAGAGCACTCGCTTCCACCATGACTACGACGCAGTCAGCGATGGGTTCGCGCCAAAACATTGCGCACCTTGATGACATTACTGGTAGTCGGTTGGTTCTTCCTCTCTCGAGCAATGTTGCCGTCTTTCTTGTGGTGTGTCAACGTACCTCCCTTCGTAGTTGGCTCTTGGACGGAAGTCGAGGATTCTTGGGACCCGTCCGTCACGAAGTTCGAGCTCGAGAACCGCTTGTACTCGGTCGGGCTCCGCGGTTGAGAGTCGTCGTCGTCGGGGACGGCCCGAGGGCTCGTGACGCGCGGACTTGTTGCCATCAAAACCGAAATATTCCACGATGGGAGTTGTCGAAGCATTTTGCATATCCTTCGACATTTTGCAGGGGCGCGCCGAGTGGTCAACGTTCGACTCGATTGTTCACGCTCAAATACACTGCTCTCTTAGCGTTCCTTGTTGCTCCTGTCGTGAGCAGAGTGCGCCAGGCAACGGAACTCTGTCGCGCCTTTGCCCTTTCGAGCAGGATTCCTCGTGCTACCTCAACTACCACCATCGCTGTAGCCATCCGCAGCATCGAGCCTGCTTCCCTTTGCATGCACTGCGCCGGAACACCACTTTGGCCATGACGCGCTAGCCACAACGCGATCGCTTCCATGCATGAGTGGAAACCCACACAATCTTTCGTATGGTTTGGCCATTCCCACACAGTCCAGTGCGAAGCTTTATCACTGCAGAGACGCGGGGGTTGTCGCTCTTTCGAGCGGGAACGGCGCTCCGACAACGGCGACTTACTTGGGACGGCGCGGCAACCTCGTCTCGACATTCGGGACGCAACAACAACACAACAGAGTAGCACCTCTTACTCAACGCATGCAACTGGAACATCGACGCCACGTTCCACCACAAGGACCGATGGCTTTCGAATGTGTATATGTTCGGGAGATGCATACAGCCCTCGTTCGAGAGTGATGCCGTGAAGAGAGCGGAGGAGCCGCCGCCACGGATGCCTTGTCTTGACGATGGCGGTTATTCCATCGAAATTCGCACTATAAATAGATGGACGCGAGTGGCGCTCGTCGGCCAGATTTGGATCTTTCCCATGGCAATCGAGGTAACTGTGGAGCGGACGGCGGGCAGCGCCGCAACGGTGCTCCCGGTCGACCGTCGGGATGATGACAAAGAAAGCGCGGCGGAGAGTGGGTCCGAACAACCCGTCACGAGATCGCTCCCTACCATTCCCTGCCTCAAGCAAGAAGCAGCGTCGCAGTACAAAGGCCGGTACTTGGTACGTCATGGCGACTCGACGTCATGCATGTGCGTGAAAGGCTAACGATAGATGTAGATCTGGCCAGGAATGTTCTTGTTGGGGGCGATTGCCATCGCTGGAGTCGTGCTCATGGTGATCTACAGCTGGAATGCCCACCACGCAATGAATAGTCGCCGCTCCGAGTACAATGCGCGCATGGCGAAACGATTTGCCATTGGTGCAGATATCGACGACGGGTCCTTCGATGGAAGTGGCGGTGATGACGGCGAATCCCCGCGCAATCCCTCGACGTATGGGAATCGAGGTATTCCACACATCCATGCGGTACGAGCGAGGAGGCACTGTGCTCATGTACGCCCTCCTGTGTCGACAGGATGCGCGTTGCCAAACTATGTGTCCACGAAAGGGCAGATCTTTGCGTTGGGTCCGAAAGGCGAGAGCGTGCCGATTGGCATCAAGGGCATCAACTGGTTTGGGATGGAGACGGGGCTCGCGATCCCGTTTGGGCTGTGGGCGAACGACGACAACGGCACGACCGTCGTACGCTGCTTTGTCCATCCTCTTGTACTCACCATCACCGTTCGTAGTACGAAGTGGCGCGGTTCCTGGCCAAGAACCGATTCAATAGCGTGCGCTTGCCGCTGTGTGTTTCGCACCTCCTCACGAATCGACGGCCCCAGCAGAACGTGATCAACATCGTCCAAAACAAAGCCATCAACGCCACCACGTACATGTCGACGCTGTCGTCGATTGTGCAGACACTGGCATTTCGCAATATCTCGGTGCTCCTCGACATGCACTCGCTGACGTCGACGGACTCGGGCGGACTGCCATGGACCAACGCCGCGGGTGAAAGCGCGTTCATGGACGCGGTTGACGTGCTGACGACCCAACTGTGTAACGCCAAGCACTGGAACATCGTTGGCCTCGACTTGAAGAACGAACCGCACTTGGCGACGTGGGGCGACGGCGGAGCGGCGGACTTTCGGCTCATGGCGCAGCGGATCGGCAACCGCATGCTGACCAAGTGTCCGTCGTGGCTGGCGTTTGTGGAAGGCATCAACACACCGCACACGATCACAATCGACGGCGAAACCTTTTCGTTCACGGACTGGTGGGGCGGCGGCCTCGAAGGAGCGAGCGCCAACCCGGTCGAGCTCGGCCTCGACAACAAGATCGTGTACGCGCCACACTACTACAATCCTGCCGTGTACCCGCAGCTGTACTACCTCAAGAGCGGCACGCGGGCCGGCGACACGATCATCGACTTCCAAGAATTGGACGACGGAACGTTGGCGAAGCGCGTGCAAGTGACGAGTGAGTACATGTTTGGCCACTTGCGCCAGTCCCAAGACGGTGCCATTGTCTTGGGCGAGTTTGGCGGGTTGTACACGCAAGATGCGCACCCGATGCGAACGACCCAGCGCGCGACGGAGGCACTCATCGAGATCATGAAGGAGCCTGGATATGCGGGAGGGTATCTCTGGGCACTCAACCCCGAGTCCGCGTACCAATTCAACCCGTCCAACAAACGTGTGACCGCCACGGAAGGACTGCTCGATGTGACATGGCTCAACGTGAATGAGCCGTTCCTGAAAGCGATGGCCGCGATGGACTCGCTGCCGAACCTTCGATCGTTTCCATGCTTCCCGACTACGTAAGGAGGATGCAATCGAAGCCTACGTGTTGGTCCATCGAATTCTCGTCCTTTTGGATTGTCCTCACCGACACGGCGAGTTGGAGAATGCCAGAAGAGTACACAAACGTGGCTTGCCCCGGTCGAGCTAGGTCGGCTTGAGACTACCAAACGATGCGTGAATCGCCATGCTGACGAGCTTCGCTCGCCGGCAGTCATCATGTCGGTTGCTTGGTGGAAGCGGCGTTGGAAAATTTCGCCGTCCATCCAAATATTCAGGTCAGTGCATGTTTTGGACGTGGTGAGGTGCAAGATGCACCGCATCCCCGTGGCTGGACTGGCTATTCCGGCATGGCATGCTCCTTTCAGAGGCGAAGATGCCTCGATGCGTTGCGCCCCCTTGTCCAACCGAGATGCGGAACCAGCTACGTAGGCCGACCAGACCACATTTGTATGAATATTTGCAGTGATAACGACACTTCGACGAGTCAGTAATGTGTTCCTAGTTGGACGATGGAGGCTTGGACCCGTCAGGAATAGGGACGCCCCAGTCGCAGTCGCTTTCAATGCCGAGGTTGTGGTGGTGCATTTGAATGCGAAACCAACCGTGCTCACCCCAATACGTTCCCCACGAATTGCGTCCGATCCAGTACTCGGTTTGCGTGTCTTCGTCAAAGCCCCACCCGGCGACCGAAATTTCGTGGTTCGGGATCGGGAACAGCACGTTTTCCGAGTAAATCCCGCCGCTGTACGCTTCGAACTTGTCTGTTACGTGCATGCCACATCCGACCGGTCCGCGCTTATAGATCTCTGCCTTGATTCGGTCCGCGCCTCGAACGTGGCCGTACTCGGACACGTAGTAGCTCTTGAAAGCCGGCACAACACGGCATTCGCCAGGCGTGAACGACGAGTTCGTGGGCCAGCACCTGCGGCAGCATAAGTGTTTGTAAAATCGACGAAAAAAACAAACTGTCCATGCGAGGCCAACAGGATGTCGTACGTTTCGCAAATGTTGAGGGCGGAGCACGTATCGTCCTTGGCCTGGTACGCCTGGCATGTCTGGTCGGGGATGCCTTGATCATGGGCAAATTCATAGACAGCGCCGGGGTTGCCACCTTCGCAAGACCCACCGCCGTGGCAATTGATGACGACTTGCGGCGACAGTGCAATCTCTGGCCATGTGGCTAGCATGACAATGCGGTAAGTGGAATGCTCGCAAGTACAGGAAGTCGATGTACCATTGCGCAGGATGGAAATTCGATCCGAGAGCGCACTGGTTGTGCCTTGGGCCCAACAGCTGCCGCAGTAACGCGGGATGTGCTGGTTCTTGTCCCACGTCGCGAAGTTGACGCCGTTGACGTTGCGCCAGTCCCAGTTCTTGGGCAGCGCACTCACATTGACGGTCTCGTGCGGCAATGCACTCAAAATCTTTTCGCCTTTGGGAAAATGCACAGCTGGTGCGCGACACATGCGCTTGGTCGTGACTTTGACGGGGTTTTCAAACGCTGACCAAACGGGGCTGCCATGACCAGCAGTCGCCGCTTCTTGGGTGGTCGACTTAGAACCCTCATGAGACTCTGACGGCGCCGCATTTGGCCACCCATCGTTGGCAGGCACGCCAAATTGACAGTCCGATTCAACACCGAGGTTGTTGTTGCCGCGGCGGAGACGGAACCACCCTTCTTCGCCCCAGTACCTACGAACCGAAACTTGAGTGCCTCCCCGCCACCCATTTTGGCGAGATCGAATGGTAGCACGTACGTGCCCCAGCTGTTGCGGCCGACCCAGTAGGGAGTCCCGTGCTCATCTTCCCCCCACCCAACGATTGAAATGTCGTGGTCGATGTCGGTCGCGCCAGTCTTGTCGTCGATGATGCCACCCGTGTAGTCCAAAAATTCCTTTGTCACGGCAACGCCACACACAACAGGCCCGCGAGCGTAGATTTCCGCCTTCAACTCCGCTTCGCCCTTAACTTCGCCGAATTCCGACACGAAGTACTTGTCGTACGTCTTTTGGGCCCAGCACCCTTGAGAAGGGTTGCAGTTACGACAAATGTCAATATCGGTGCACGAGTTGCCCACGTCGTGGCCCGTCGCGAGGTAGCGTTGGCAACCTTCTTCGGGAATGCCGTGGTCATGGATGTAGCGGTAAGCACTGAGGCCATCACCGCCGTGACACCCTTGACTTTCGAGCTCACAGTTCAAGAGGACTTGGGGAGAAAGGTTAATTTCCCTCGTCACTTCAACTCGACCGTGTTTGCCAGGACTGCGTTCGCGGTAGATGCGAAGCCGATCGCTTAATGACGACGTCGCCGCTACAGAGGTGGTGCCGCGATGAGTGAAATAGGAGAACGCGGGATGTCGTTACCAAAAGCCCAGCACGAGCCACAGTAGTGAGGGATGTGTTGGTTGCGCGATACCGTGACGTAGTTGGTGCCATTAACATTGCGCCAGTCGAAGTTCTTGGGAAGGTCGGTCACGTAGTTGTGAGGCAATGGCGACGTGACAACATTCGTGCGGTTGGGGTGGCGTTGATGGCACTTGTTGAAGACGGCGTCGAATTCAGTGGACGCTACCGCGGCGAGCATGATGACCGCAAGCAGTCTTGGCTGCATTGCGTTCGACGAGAGGGGCTGCACCATGCCAGACCAAGTTGAAAATGAAAATTCCTCCGACTTCGATTTGATTGGGATCTTTGAGAAGCAATCATTCCAGGGATATATCCGGATATTATCCGTCGTTCCGCAAAACGTGCGGTCACAAGAGCGCCCCACTGACGTTCCACGATACCAACCGTCCACATCCATGCTGTCGAGCTAATCCACTGCGAACGGTCAAGCTCTCGACATGCACATACCGGTCGTGCACGGCATTGTGCTCGGCGGCCATGGGGACTATTGAAATCTCAGACACACCACCAGTGTGAATCGTGAGCTTTAAACGCGAATCTGACAGGGTCCAGACAACTTGACCAATGAAATCGCAGAGATTCTATTGATTTCACTGGTGGGAAGTGGAGTCGTAGGAATTAAATGGGATTCTTTCCAATGGTGATTAACTCATTAGTAGGTAATCCTTACCTGTGTACATTTCTTGTACACAAAGTAGGAATGATGCAACCACAGAGTATGACACTCATGAGTTATGACTCTCTGTAAGGCAGATCGGGGTGATTTCCGTGGAGCCAATTGCTGACAATTATTTACTAATGAGGAGAGCCACCACATATATCAAACAATCCCGCGCCGCCTTCTCTACTTCCATCATCCCATGCATCTCGTGTCGTTCAAGACAGTAGGACGAGCCTTCTTCGTCCCTCGATTGAGTTGGATCCGTCGTGTCTACATCCCTTGTTTGATTTGGTTGGATGTCTGCAGCTGCTTGTCGAGACGTACGCTGTGTGCAACTGGTGAGCGTGGAGACCTGGAAGTCATCGCATGGAGCATGGCATCACGAGTGGTGTCCCTCACGGACATGACAGGTCAATTTGTTCTAAGGTGCTTAGATGGTGACACAGATTCTGGCTGAAACGTGCTAAAACGTAATGCAGTCTTCACTTCTTTACGTACTCCTATAAATGCAAACATGAGACTATCGTTTACACATGCTCCGGCACAACGTACGGTGGTGGCGGCTTCGGCGCATCGGAAGAAAGCGTCGGACACATCTTTGCACTTCAGCACGTCTGTCCCGCTTTCTCTGTAGCACTGCAGGCATGCTTCTCGCTCCTTTGAGCATTGAACGTCATTTACAGGAGCCCTAGGATTGCGTTGAAAATGTATTCATCCTGGGAGGTACGCGAACCTGTAGTGCTTTTTGTTCAAGTCGTCCACGACCTTCTGGACGCGCTGGAGCTCTTCTTCCTCTTTCTTCTTCAAGTCGACCGACTTGGCGGTTTTCTTCTTTGCTTCGGCTTCCTCACGCTTCATGTAATCCTCCATACCCTACATGTGCGTGCTTTGAACGTCTACCAAGTGTTCGTTCACACTACAGACCTTATTGTATGCTTCCTTTCGAAT